CTGCTCTGTGTGAACTGTAGAAATGCACTGCCAGCAAGAGAGATCCTGTGGGACAAGGAGGTGGGAAAGGAGAAAGATCTTGTAAACTTGGCCCAAAAACCAAGGAGAGAACCAGAGTGGACAGCACAGGGAATAGATGAAAAATAACAGTACAAGATCTGCAAATAATAAAACCTAAGTTGCTGGGGGAGTGTTGTAACTTCATTTGTGTCCAAGGTCTTACTTCTTTTCTGGGTGTGTGGTTTTAAAGAAACTTGAAATTAATCATTTCAGGCTGTCCAGAGAAGTTGTGGATGCCCCATCCCATCAAGGCCAGGTTGGACAGGGCCTGGAGCAACCTGGTCTAGTGGATGGGGTCCCTGCCCACGGCAGGGGGTGGAATGGGATGAGCTTTAAGGTCCCTTCCGACTCGAACTGCTCTGGGATTCCGTGAAGGTGTTTGAAAGTGCTCCCCCTTTGCCAGGAAAAGGTAAAAATGCATGATTATAGTACACAGAAGGCAGACAGACACACACTCCCTGGGGATAATCACGTCAGCCTTGTGCCAACAGAAAACCAGCCTGAAAATGCAAAGGGGCAGAAAGATGACACACAAAGAAGGAGCAAATGAGTGAACACAGAAAACAGAGCTAGAAAAGGATAAGGGAGGAGAGAGCATCCAAACAGAGATGATTTATTACAATGACTACAAAAAAGTTTGGATTTGCTTCCTACCCAGGATGGAGCGAGCACAGAACTTCAGGCCAGCACTGGGAAGCCAAGACAAATATTTTGTTGGCTGCTGAGTCAGGCACAGAGATCTCTGGATTGAAAAGCTTTACCCAAGGCAAAGAAGCTTGTGAATAAATAGCCTCTTTAACCCCCTTCGAAAATGGGGTTGTCCCGGAAAGCCAGTCCCAAGCCCATCTCCCATGCCAGGAGTGGATCCCTACCTGCGGAAATGCTCAGGAACCCGACGGAGGAATGCAGTGAGTCAGCGCTGCTCTCGGCCATCCCTGTGCGCTGGAGTCCCGGCTGAGATCTGCACTGCCGCATCCCTTTCCTCCCATGCTCTTTATAACCAAAGCAACTCCGCTGGCGTCCCGGAAAGCCAGTCCCAAGCCCATCTCCCATGCCAGGAGTGGATCCCTACCTGCGGAAATGCTCAGGAACCCGACGGAGGAATGCAGTGAGTCAGCGCTGCTCTCGGCCATCCCTGTGCGCTGGAGTCCCGGCTGAGATCTGCACTGCCGCATCCCTTTCCTCCCATGCTCTTTATAACCAAAGCAACTCCGCTGGCTCCTCCCTGCTTTTTCCCTACAAACCGCTTCTGTTAGTGTTGCTCTCTGCATGCGGGAGGAAATGCAAATGAATCGCTCCTGCAATAAATTTGGGGCTGTGAGTCAGCATGGGCTGCTGGTAGCTCCCTCCAGGGGCCTCTTAATTTTACTGTTGATTAACCCTTGTTAGAAAAGACACTAGAAAAGTGAGGCTGAGGGTTTATTGCTCTTACTGCCTTTTTGCTCCTGCCAGCAGGAAATTGCACTGGTTAAAATGAAGGTTTTTGCAAGAATCCACCTTGCTGGAGCAAACAAGCACTTCGCAAGCCCAGGAGCTCTCTGGGGACCAGTTGTTTCTCCTAACACTGGCCATGGTCCTGCTGTTTGTCCCTGTCACAGCTCTGAATGCCTGGCATCACCACCCCGTGCTGGGCAAATCCAGGGCAGACTCAGTGCCATTCCCTTAAAGGTGACTTCTGTTCATCTGTCACTCCACATCCATCTGATCCAGTCTGGAGGAGCCTTGTTGGCTTTTCAGGAGACCTGTGCAGACAGGGAGTGTCACTCATTGCCAGGATTGCTGCTCTATCCCAAAGGCAATATGAAGGACCTATTGACAGCTTCCTGCTGCTTCCCACGGAGAATATGTGGTCAGGGCATAGAGGTGTTTATGGATAGAGGAGAGGCTGCAGAAAGCAGTGGACAGTGGCCTTGGGATCATGTTGGGTCACAAGTCAAAGAGGAATTTGTCAGAGAACTGTTCTGTGAGAGCTTACAGAGCTTTGATGGAAACAGGGACAACACTTGTCTGCCTCTACATACACTCCTCTGTCATTTTCTTTGTGTCTGATGGACCAGTGTAGGGATCATTCCCATGAAGGACTCAGCTCCTGTTCCCATCAGTCCCAATTAAAGCAAATTCCACTCACCTCACAAGATAAACGATGCAGAACAGTATGAAGAGCTTCACACTGATGTTACTGGGCTGGTCAAGGATGGGTCTGCAGAGACCCTCCAGCAGCAAACTCTGATGTTCCTCTTGGGAGATCCTATGTTCTCCGTTAAGAGGAGGCTCAGTCTCTACAGCTCCCTGACAGGTGATTGTAGAAAGGTGGGGGTCAGTCTCTTCTCCCAGACAAATAGTGACAGGAGGAGAGGACATAGTCTCAAACTGTGCCAGAGGAGGTTCAGGTTAATCATCAGGAGGAATTTCTTCACAGAAAGGGTGATTAGAGAATGGACTGTCTCTACAGCTCCCTGACAGGTGATTGTAGAAAGGTGGGGGTCAGTCTCTTCTCCCAGACAAATAGTGACAGGAGGAGAGGACATAGTCTCAAACTGTGCCAGAGGAGGTTCAGGTTAATCATCAGGAGGAATTTCTTCACAGAAAGGGTGATTAGACACTGGAATGGACTGCCCAGAGAGGTGACGGAGTCACCATTCCTGGAGGTGTTTAAGGAGAGCCTGGACGTGGCACTTAGTGCCATGGTCTGGTTGACATGGCGGTGTTAGGTCATAGGTTGAACTTGATCTCAGAGGACCTTTCCAACCTCATTGATTCTGTGACTCTCCCAGAAGTCATGCTCCACAGCCAGGGCTGGAGGACAGAAAAGCTGTGAAAATGGGACTTGGAGTTGCACTGTCTGGAGCTTGAAGTCAGGCCCGTGGGATTATCCAAGAGGCATTAAAACTGTAGCTACATCCAGAACAACCCCAGACTGTCAGGGTCCATGGTTAATGGGGGAGGATCTGACTCCTCCTGCTCTCTGAGCCAGCTAGAGCATGATGGCACACTTCCATTGTGCTGCCAGATCCCTGTAACGCCTTACAAACCTTCCTGGTTTCTTCAGTGCTTTGGAGGACAGTTATCTTTGAACATATTCAGCCTTTAAGAAGAGCTTTGAGCCTAGAGGGTTCCTTCACACCCATCTTTGCTAGAATATTAATACAGACTAAAGGAAGGTGTTAATATCAAAGCCCAATGTCTCTACCATCATAAATGTGTGCAGATATTGCCACACAGAATGGAATAACCCAGCTGAGAAGCGTTGTTTATCAGTAATCTGCTTATTGTAGATAGATCTTTAGGTTTGACATGTCTATTGAGACAGATGTTGTTCCATAAGGAAGAAACAAGCCTGGTTTGTCCAGTTACACCAAACCAATTAGACCAGTAAGGGGAACCAACCCAGGCAGTTTGCAACAGGCAGAGCTAAACAATGTGGTTTACAGCAAGCAGTTTCTTTAAATCACCAGCCTCTGGCTATGTTTGTTCCATCACTAACGGAACTGCTCCCCAACCAGCTGGATGAAGAAGAAACTATCTGTTCAAGTTGCAGCATGATTCAGCTGTTTTTTCATGCAAGAGGAAATAATACACGTCTAAACCATAGTTAGAATTCCTTAGATAGCAAAACAATCAGCAGTGCAAAGGCTTTGGGTCTTTTTCCCATCTATCTCACCGTTTAATTCCCATTCTGGGTAATAAAAATGACTGAGAGGCAAAGTCTGTGTTAGATTAGTGGGATGGCAATCCTCTCTCACATGCTTCTTGTTCCTGCTTGGACAGGTAGCAGCTGGGAGTATGTGGTGCCTGAAATGCCTCGTTTTGGGAGATACATGCAATAAATGAAGTCACATGCAGCAGCAATAAGCCTCCTCCTCAGGCCTGCTCTGACTAACCAACTCACCAAAACACTAATTCACCCCACACACAATGTACTTCGTGTCTCTTCTAAACATGACAGAAACCCAAGGTACATGCCTTATAAATAACCCCTGGAAAACATCCTTTAGCTGTGTTGCATGAAGTTTTTTGTTCTTTCATGAAGAGTGGCAAGTCAGCCTCCACAGGCTACAGTTATTTCACTAGGGCCAAGCTGAAACAGAGGTACACAGTGATTTCAGGTGTGAGCAGAACAAGGGCAGGGAAGAACAAACCTTTGCATGAGCAAGGGAGCAAGAGGCTGTAAATCCTGTTGCCTGGTGCCCCTTCAGAGGTCAGGGCTCTGCCAATTGCTGGTACCATTTCCCTGGCAGATGGAGAGATGGTGCTGTTGATGAAGAATCAAGATATCCCAGATCTCATGGAGTGTTTGGACAATGCTCTTGGGTACATGGTGGGATTGTAGGGGTTGTCCTGTGCAGGAGTTGGACTCAATGATCCTTGTGGATCCCTCTCAACTCAGGAGATTCTATGACTCTATGACTGTTAATTTCCAACCTCAGGACCCAAAGGCCAGGAAACAACCACAGCTATGTGTAATCTGATCTGATTGAAATAACATTTAGGGTCAGAAAACAAAATCTTGATGTTAAAAGTCTGAGGCTGCCTATGCAGTATAGAATTTTTTAAAAATGGGGCACAGAGAGGAATGCACTGGCTTGAATACTTGCTCTGGGCAGGCTCCCTGTGGTAGCATCTTCTGTGAAAGACTTTGGTTCTTTAGTCTGAAATAGAATGGAAAATCAATAGCTGAGAAAGAAAAACACTGCTGCTCTGTTGCACAGGTCTGGTCAGCTGGGGCTGCTTTGGAGACAACATGCTGGGAAGAAGGGTTGTAAGGAAGCAGTCAGTTGAGGAAACAAACAGTATTTGCATGCCCTGCCTGTGCAGCTGGAAATAAAACCTTCCTGCCAGTAAGAAATTCAGCCCAACCCTTCTGGCCCCACCTGCTCCTGGGGGAGGGAGCATGCTATAAAAGGCTACAGGCAGCAAACAGAGCTACACAACAGTTTGGGGCTCTCCAGGGAATCCTGCTGCTCTGGTTGTGGCCATGGGAAAGAGAGTGGCTGTCGTGCTGGCTGGCTGTGGGGTGTACGATGGGAGTGAGATCCATGAGTCTTCTGCTGTGCTGGTGCATCTCAGCAGGGAGGGGGCACAGGTAAGAAGCACTGGGCAGGCTCCTGCTCCAGTTCTGGCTCCTTTTGCCCTGCTCTGCTTCTCAACCTCTCTCCTCCTTGTCTCTAAGACAAACCGCTCAGAAAGCAGCAATGTCTGGAGTCAAAGGGAATTGCAGCATAGGAGAACTCCCTACTCCATGCCTCTCACAGCTTTGCTGCATGCTGGGATTGGCTCCGTGCTCGGTGTCCAGTGTATCCAAACTCTGAAACAAGCTTTCCTGAATGCTTTCTCTATTCTTTTTTGGCTTGCACATCCTCTTTTCTGCTCTGGTATTTCAGTTTAAGAATTTTGATTTGGGCTGTTTTAAATTAATCTTTTTAACACGGCAAAGATTAGAAGTGAAAATTGAATCATAGAACCATAGAATCCGAGTATGGTTTGGGCTGGAAGTACCTTAAAGGTGATCTCATTCCACCCCTGCACCATGGGCAGGGGCAACTTCCACTAGTCCAGGTTGTTCCAAGCCACATTCAACCTGGCCTGGAACATTTCCAGGGATGGGGCAGCCACAGCTGCTCTGATGAGAGAACAGACAAGTTCTTGTGAGTTGAACTTGAGGAGGGGTAGAAAAGGTGACCCTCAAGCAGCCACTCTAATATGCCCTTAGTCAGGAGAGCCACTCTGCGAGATTGGAAGAGGAGGGCGAGAAGCTCTATGGAACATTACACTCAGCTCTGAGCCGTGCACACGTCAGGGTCAGAGCCATGCCCCTTGGAGTTGGAATTACCCCATGGAACAGAGAGGCACAGTGGTGATCTCCGTGTGCTGTGGACCCGCCCAATTCAAGCCCTTCAAACTGTGCCTTCTCTGTTTGGCTCCAAGATGAGACTTATCCAAACCTTTTCTCTGCTGGGTATAATTCTGCCTTTTTTCCTCTCCTGGAGCTGCTGCATCGTGCCCTCATCCCTGGGTCGGCAGAGGCCTCTAGTGGAGGAAAATCGGGCGTTGTTTCCATCCCTCTTTATTCTTCGGTCATGCTTGCTTAAGGAAACAAAGAACAACATAGAATAGAATATTTCATTAGGAAGGGAGGAGAGATCAGTACCTCCGTCTCCATGTTCCCTGTTTGGGAAACTGCAGAGAGCTCCTCAGCCTCCTTTTCTCCAAACTAGACAAGCCCAAAGTCCTCAGCTGCTCCCATGGGACATTCCTTCCAGCCCTGTCACCAGCTTTGCCCTTCTCTGGACACCTTTGAGTTCCTTAACATCCTTCTTAAATTGTGGGGCCCAGAACTGCACAATTTGTACAGTCCCAAAATCTTTCAGCTATCTGTTTTCCTCCCTCCGCTCTTCATTTCTGCACGTGAGCTTCTAAGTTCTGACGGAAGCGGAAGCATTTGCCAGAAAAACACTCTGACTTTGGGAAAACAGTATCTGTGGAGAGGAAACTCCAAGTCCTGTCTCTGGGGGAAGCACGTGGTGGGACAGCAGCTGGCTGGGTGGTCAGCACTCACAGGGTACCACTGGCTCTGTGGGTCTGTGCTGGTGAGGGGCATTCATTGGGGTATGGATGGAAACTGCTAAGAAACAGCTTCACCAAGGGCTCTTCGGCTCCCAAAACAAGCAGCATGAGCTCCCTGCTATGTCCCTGTGCAGAAGCTAGAGAAGATTTCTTTTCCCTCCCTCCCTCCTTTGCTGCTTTGTCCCTGTGCAGCTACAAAATATTTCCTTCCTTTCTTCCTCCCTTCTTCCCTCCCTCTCTCCTTTCTTTCTTCCCTCCATCCCTCCCTCAACTACTTGCCTGATGCTAGCAGCAGACCCAAGGGAGTAGGGAAGCAAACCTGGTCAAAATCTGAAGGTCACAGCATTCACTGGCAAAATTCTTTCCCAACACAGTCACTCAGCATTTTCACTCATTACCTGTGACCTTGGACATGTTTATCCATCACACTTGAAGGATAACAGACCTTTCCCATCCCTCCAGGCAGAGGTTTATGCTCCTGATGTGGCCCAGATGCATGTGGTGGACCACATGAAGGGACAGCCAACGACAGAGAAGCGCAATGTGCTGGTTGAAAGTGCCAGGATAGCCAGAGGGAACATCAAGGATCTGGCTAAGCTGGATGTCAAGGAGCTGGATGCCCTGATCATTCCAGGTAGGATGAGTCCAGGGTCTGCATGTCCACAGTCTTGGGAACAGCTTAGATAAGCCTGGAATGACATGGGAGCCTTGGGCTAGAGAGGAACTGGAAAAGACATGCTGGAAGCAGGGATTGGAAGGGCAGACACCTTCCGTCCATGCTGGCACTAGCTCTCTAGCTTGGACTTAGATCAGAAGAGAACATGGCAACGACAAGCTGATGCCAAGAGGAGAGGGCAGGTAGCTGCCAACTAAATTATCCTCTGAACCATCCACCAGGATTTGTTGTCACTAGCTGGAAAACTATCCCTTCCTTCCCCACCATACCCTCCCCCTTCCCAGGAAAAGAGGCTGGGACAGAGAGGGGTGTCTCAAAAGCAGAAATCTTGGTCAGTCTGGCACCTCATCTTTAGGGAAAATATGACCATGAGATTCCAGTGGGGGTGGATGAGGCCTGAAGCAAGAATTAAGCAAGGGAAAACATTGTCAGCATTTTCACCTTAACTCAGAAAAGAACTGATGGGTGAAGCACAGCACCCATGGAGCATCAGCACCTCTCTTCTTTGGGTCAGTGTGGAAGCAAGGGAGGTGCTTGGATGCCTCAGCTCTTGACACTCAGCTCACAAAGGTTCAGGATCTCTGTTTTAATTCTTCCGTTGACACTGGACAAATGCTGCCATCCACCAAATCCAGTCCGTAATTCCACCAAGCAATACCTGGAAAAAATCCTGCCCTGTGTATAATCTCCCAGTCTAATCTGTTTCACTTTTCTCAGGTGGCTTTGGAGTGGCTAAAAACCTGAGCACGTGGGCTACCCAAGGCAAGAACTGCACCATCTCCAAGGAGGTGGAGGATGTCCTGAGAGCATTCCATGCTGCCCAGAAGCCCATTGGGCTGTGCTGCATCTCCCCAGTGCTGGCAGCCAAGATCTTCCCCGGCTGTGAGCTGACTGTGGGGCATGACACCGAGTGTGAGAAGTAAGTAACCTTGGAGTACTGATGGGAAATGCCACCATAGACATCATAGAACCAGCAAGGCCCCCTGCAAAGCACAGAGCATCCTGTCCTAATGATCCTGACCACGTATCAGAAGTGATGAGCTGAACATTATTTCTGAGAACAAACTCAGCTCTGCTGTAGTTGCTGCCTTTGAGCAAGGCCTTTGGTACCTACAGCCCTTTTGAGGGCTTAACAGGTTAAAGCTGAAACTCCTCAAGCACCTGGAAGATTCATTTTATAATTTCTCAGCAGATCAGAAGGAATGACGTATCACGAGATCTATGTACATTTTTGTCTACTTCTTTCCACAATTCTGATGGCTTAAAGTGAGGCACTTTGTTTTAAATACAAACTCCTATTTGCCTCCCCAATGCATATAGCACCATCTCATGTTCCTTGTGTGCTCCTAGGGTAGGAAAGATACCACAGCACTGGGATGAGCAGGATGATTGCACGAGGCGTGGGGTGTTAAGAAAAGGAGGGGGTTAAACTGTTCTTACTCCTACAGGAAAGCTGTGACTGAATTCTCCTGGTGGCACAGAAGGAATGTGAATGGCTCTTGCTAGGAAGGAATGGCACTTATGGGAAGCTGGTGAAAAAGAAACCCCTAAACCTAAATGTAATTGTTGCCCAGAGAAGCTGTGGCTGCCCCATCCCTGGGAGTGTTCAAGGCCAGGTTGGATAGGGCCTGGAGCAACCTGGTCTAGGTAAAGGTGTCCCTGCCTGTGGCAAGGGGGGAACTGGATGAGCATTAAGGTCCCTTCCAACCCAAACCAATCTGTGATTCTTTGATTGCATAAACACTAAGTCTGCAGTTGGCAGAGTCAGGAAGTGGAATATCAAGGTCTTATTTTGGCTTTCCTTCAGATTTTTAACTCAGTGTAATCTGGAGGTTTTCCTGGTTCTGTAGTCCTGGAGAAGCTCCTCTGGCAAGAGATTTCATAGTATCATAGAATCATCAAACTTGGATAAAACCTTTAAGATCATTGACAGCATCCATTAACTTGTCACTGCTGTGACACCCTAACCCTAAACCATATCTTTCAGTGCCAGATCCAGATGCCTCTTAAACACTTGCAGGGATGGTGACTCCACCATCTCTCTCAGCAACATTCCAGTGCCTGACTACACTAACAGGGAAGACATTTTCCCTAATATTTGGATCCCATTGAGCAGGTTTTGTGAGGGACCACCCATCTCTCTCTAATCAAGATACTTTTTCACTCTAGGCCTTCATCCAACCACCCTGTGTAATGACAACTTCCCCACTCAGGGTTTATTTCTCTTTCTTCCTTGCAGATGGCCTTATGCAAAGACTGCTGAGACCATGAGGGAACTTGGCTGCAAGCACGTGAACAAACACGTCACCGAAATTCACGTGGACACCAAGAACAAGCTGGTGACCACCAGTGCCTTCATGTGTAATGCTCCCATCCATGAGATCTATGATGGCATTGGAAAAATGGTCAAAGAAGTGGTCAGGCTTGCCTGAATGCCATGGAGGCACAGAATGCAGTTCCTCCTCCTTGAATAATGTCCTTCCCCTATTACACCCACACACAATAGGCAAAGTGGCACTCAAATGGAGTTCTTCCCCCCTCCACAACCTCCCCGGACCACTGGTGGTTGTTGAGGTGGAGAATTCCAGAGCAATGTAGGAGTTGTTGTGTTCTGCCAAGGATGCATCACTCACTGACAGCAAACTGCCAGGAACTGGACTGTGTGCATGCATTGAGCTGGCATAGAATTGTGGAATGGTTTGGGTTGGAAGGGTCCTTAAAGCTCATCTCATCCACCCCCTGCCATGGGCAGGGGCACCTTCCACTAGCCCAGGTTGCTCCAAGCCCTGTCCAGCCTGGCCTGAAACACTTCCAGGGATGGGGCAGCCACAGCTTCTCTGGGCAACCTGTGCCAGTGCCTCACAGGGAAGAATTCTTTCCCAATATCCCATCTAACCCTGCCCTCCTTCAGCTTAAGGCCATGCAGGAGTCAGGCTTCCACAAAACTTCAGGCTCTCTCCACACCCCTCAGCCCACAAAGGAAGGAACACAGTTCTGCTACTAAATAAAACCTGCTATTTTTACATGGGCTGAATTCTGCTTCCATTTCTGCCTTTCCCTCTGGATTAGGACATGCTCTTATTGCCACTGGTGGGCCAGTGATTGAGGAAAATGGTCCAAGAAGTTGCCAGCAACAAAGCCTCCTTGTTTTGCTGGGATTTGTCAGATGCCAGCCTTGGGCATGAATGTGACATTGGGAAAAGCTGAACCAAACCAATGTTAGCAAACAGGTCCGATGGGAAGAGGTTAAATTCTTCTCTTTTATTAACAGAACCATAGAATTCCAAGTTGGAAGGACCTCAAGGTTCATCTGGTCCAACCTTTCTTTGCAAAAGCACCATCTAGATAGGATGGCTCAGCACCCTGTTCTGCTGAGTCTTTTTTAGAAGTGTCCAGAGTTGGGGAATAATCCCTGGGGGGATTATTCCAATGACTGGTTGTTCTCATTGTGAAAAATTGTCCTCTTGTGCCTATTGGAATTTCTCCAGGAATAACCTGTACCTATTAGCCTTCATCTTTTCCACATGACTACTTGTAAAAAGGGAGTTGCCATATTTTTTGTATCCACCATTTAAATACTGGAACATGGTGATAAGGTCTCCCCTAAATCTCATTTCCCCAATGCTGAACAACCCCAGTTCTCTCAGCAGCTTCCCAGGCCTTGGACCATCCTTGTGGCCTTCCTCTGGACACTCTCCAGCCTGTCCACATCTTTTTCTGCAGAGTGGGCATCAAAACTCTTTCCACAACTCTGACGGTTTAAAATAAGACACTTTATTTTACATACAATCACATTTGCAGCCACTGAACATTCCTGCAAGCACACAGAGCTCTCAGCAGCAGCACTGGGACTTGCCTTTTGCAAAGAGGTTTCTTTAACCATGTGAACTCAACACAAGTGAAGTTGCAGAGGTCTATTCACTCTGAGTTAAAAGAACATCCTAAAAAATCACCATAAAACAGATTATAAAGAGCTGATCCCTGCCAATATGTCATATAAAGAGTTCACTACATCTGGGCCCAAACCAAGGCATAAACCCAAACACAGCTGCTGGGGAACAGAGATTTGCACTGTTTGGTTTTGAGTTCTCTCTTTACTAAACCAGAATCATTTGACATATTTTTTTAAGTCAGAAAAGGATGTGAATACTATCACAAAAATACGGTTTGTGTATTGAGGACAGTGTAAACATCTCACGAGCACAAAGCAGCAACCATGTTGCTCCATGTAAACGGTGTGGCAGTGGGGAACTGCTCACAAGCACACCTTAAAACCACCCACTTAAAAAATATCCTGACCTATATTTTCTGTTGTCTCCAAAAAAATACTACACTGTAAAAAAGTGAGGCATCTACCTAACATATGTACATGTGCAAATGAGTCAATACCCTTGAGCTTCAGTACAGGCTGGTCTTCTTCATGATCCGCAGGAACTCCTGCTCATTCACTTCCCCATCCCCATCTCTGTCTGCTTCGTCAATCATCTCCTGAAAGAGATTTGTGATCAGAAATTAGCTGTGGATTAGACCAGGATTAGAATTATTGGATTAATTCAGAATTAGAACCACTTTTGAGTCACTTGTACTGGAGGGGACAGTGTTAGTGCAATGTCAGACCTACAAAGTATTTACTAAACTAGACACTAAAAGGGTTTTCTAAATATATTTATACAGAAGTCTGCATAGAAAATATTATAGGAGATTTCCTGGGAGAAACAAAGTGCTTGGAACAGAGTTGTCCCTTTCACATCCCTTTAACTCCATAAAACCGCAATTCTCCTGCTGCCATTTTCACAGCTCTGTGGGCTCAACCCATCCTTGACCTCAAAACCCAAAATGCTTCCAATCCTACCAGGAGAGAGGGGATTTTCCTACCAGCTTCAGCATAAAGATCCCGCATAGACCAGATACAAACCTGCAGCTCTTCATCTGTGAGGTTCTCCCCCAGTTCTTTGGCCACACGTTTGAGGTTTTTGAATGAGATTTTGCCAGTTTCATCATCATCAAAGAGTTTGAAAGCTTTGAGAATCTCCTCCTTGGAATCTTTTTCCGCCTTCAAGAAGGAGGAATAAGTTTAAGGTGAAAAACGAGTGGTCGTGTTGTAGGTAACACTCAAAAGTTAGAAAAGATTTGACACATTGAGAAACCTTCAAGAAGCAAATTAAAGGAGTCAGTAGGAATGATACATGTAAAAGCTGATGGTAGACAGAGATACAAACAGAATTCCTGAACTTCAGGCTTTCAGGGAATGTTTTTTCTGTCCTAGCTAGCCAGATGTCTTTGAAATTTCACTATTAGGATCTTTCATATTAAATATCTGGTTTTTTTCTCAACATACATTCAGATTTTTAAACCCAGAGATTTCACCTGTAAATAAATTCGAATTCAAGAGCAGAAAATGCCCCCATGTCACACATCAACACTCCAACAGCTTCCTGCAGGCCAGAGCCAGTTGGAATATGGGAAAAAAGCCTTGATTTCAGTTTCTTCATTTTCTCACACACACACAAACCTCTGACTGTTATAGAAACTTGTGAATGATGTCATTTCCATCTGTCCTTGACAAATGAGATAGAATCCAAGTCAGTGACTGCCCTAACTCTGACATATTTAGTTGTTAAGATTAAAATTGTGCTCTAATCTTCCACCAAACCCAAAAGGATACTCAGCCATCCTCAAAACTGCCTTTATTTGCACTTTTTTTGGACCCACCATTTTCTGTGTCATCACTGCCAAGAAGTCATTGAAGCTGATTTTCCCTGTCCCTTCCTTGTCGATGTCTGAGATCATTTTCTTGATCTCTTCTTTTTTAGGTTCAAAGCCCAATGCCCTCATGGCCACCTGGAAGGACAAAAGAAGTTATAAATCCTATAAAACGATACACAAAACCACAGGGGAGGGAGAAAAAGGCGAACTTAACACCACATTGTAGTGCGTTTTTGTGGCCAGGCTTTGGCAGTGGGAGGCTACAGGGTTGGTTTCTGTAAGAAGTTGCTAGAAGCTTCCCCATGTCCAGCAGAGCCAATGCCAGTGGCTCCAGGATGGACCCACCAGCGTCACCAAGGCCGATTCAGTCAGTGGTGGCAGTAACACCTCTGGGATGACAGATTTAAGAAAGGGAAAAAAGTTATTGCACAGAAGTATCTGTGGCCAGAGAAGAGAGGAGTGAGAA